GATGTACAAATGCGCTTTACACAATTGATGTGTGTATGGATTGCGATAACAGTTGTATGAGCCCCTAATAAAATGTTAAAAAAAAACAAAAACATAGTATACAGACAAAGAAATAATGTATATGAAGGGACAGACAGCCCCCTGACAATATTCAAAAAGCCAAGGAAGAAATTTGTCATGGCACCAGTAAGAGATACTTGCACCCAGAACATATTCTGGTCCCGTCTATAGAGTGGTCAGCTGGCCAAGTATCAAGGTCGATCCAGCATCATCAATATGACAATGGTTTCTGCCTGATAGGCTGTTTGAGACTCTTCCCTGTGGCTAGAGCGGATCTGCCAGTGGCTCATCTTGACTGGACACTCTGCAGATGGGCTTTAGACTCCCACTGTCCCCTCCACAAATCCGGTGTCCATAATTTTTGTTCTGATGCTTTTCTCTTACTATATTTGAATTTTGTCATTGTCATTTCTGGATCATACAAGCTGGTGTGCTTCTTCCATGTGGACTTAGTTGACTTCTGAGGTTGCTTGTTTGAATACAAGCCATTAAGACCTAAGATACTATTCTGATTGGCAGCCGGGCACCATTAGCTTTCTTTACCATACTTTAAATATTTTTTATTTTGTAAATTATTTTTTTAATTGAATATTTTATCGAGGGCTCTCACGACTGTTGTAACAATCCATACATCAGTTGCATCAAGCACATCTGTACATTTGCTGCCATCATTATTTTCTGGTGTCAACTCCGATATCACAACTTCCCCCATGGCCCTTTGATAAATTATAAATTATTATTATTTTCATATCTTACACCAACCTGTCTCCCTTCCCCCACGGTTTCTTGTTTTTTTGTCCTCTTTGTGGGGTGGGTGTGGTTATGTGTCGATTGTCATGATCGGTTCCCCCCTTCCTCCCCTCCTCTCCCCACCTTCGCCCTGCCCTCCTGGGATTGCTACTCCCATTCCTGTTTCTGGATTCTGTATGCCGTGAGCTCTTATGTCTATGCACATGCTCCATACCTATGCACATGCTCCAGTCTAGCCCATAGTGAAAGGCAATACTAGGGTCATGATAGTGGGGGATGAGGAAGCCTCAAGGAACCAGAGGAGTATTGTGTGTTTCATCAATGCTCTCCTGTACCCTGATTGACTCATCTCTTCCCTGTAACCCTTCTGTGAGAGGATGTCCCATTGTCTACAGATAGGCTTTGAGTCTTTGCTTCGACCCACCCCCCCCTTGTTCTCAACAACATGGTTTGTTTGGGGTTTTGCACCACACTGCTCTGGCACCCTCATCTTCAGTGATCATTTCATGAAGGTGAGTGTGGAGCAGGGCCATGATGTAAGAACTAGTTTTTCTTAAGTTGGCCTAGGATTTAGTACAAGCCCCAAACTCACTTCTGCATCTATGCATCTTTTAAAAAATTACTGTAACTTGGGAGCCAATACATATGTCCTATCATTCCATAATTCAATGTCAAACATAATTGTGCAATTTTTTTTCATAATCATATGTCATCGCCCTATTTCCCCCACCCCTCGGTGTCCTTCCCTTCCCCCCCAATCCTGTTAAAGTTTCTTTCCTTGGGTTTTGTTTACTGAAAAAGAAGACAACAAATAATACAACTTCATGAGGGCGAGTCCCAATGGCGATGCACCTGAGATACACCCTAATAGATGGAATATAACAGAATGGCCATCACAAGATTGCTGGGATAATACGTGCCAAGACCTTATTTGTTTGTCAACCAACAGTACACCGCTCTTGGTACAGCTGTCTTCTTCTACCACTGACACCGTGTATTTTCAGGCTTAAATCCTGAGGTTACAAGTGTGTCTGGACCAGAGTCCCATTCACCCAGTCCAGTTCCCAGTTGGGGTCTCATTGATGCAGCCACTGGAGCATGACATGCACCTTGACTTGACGATCCAGGACTCTGTCCCAGTACAGTGAACCCTCGTTTATCGCGGTTAATCGGTTCTAGACCCTACCGTGATAAATGAAATTCCGCGAAGTAGGATTCCTTATTTGTAAATCAAATATTTTCATAGTTAGAGCATAGAGGACGTGAAAAAACACCCTTTAGTCACCATTACACTCGTATTACCCAATTTATTAAACGAAAAAGGGAAAATACAGTAAAACATTTTGGACGTTACAATTATCATTTATTATTTATTATATTATTTATGGCATCAAGCGTGTATAATATGAGCCAATCAGTGGCAGTAATGACAGAGCATGCGCTGTTATGCAAAAATCACGATAGAGTGAAGCTGCGGAAGTCGAAGCGTGAAGTGGCTAGGGTTCACTGTATTATGTGGCATCGGCCTTAGTTCCCAAGATACCCCTAGTCACCCTAGGTCAATTCTGTCCTGTTGCATGCCACTAAAGACCCTCCTTACCTATGCACTCGAGCATCCTCTGACTCTCCTACCCCTACCTGGCAGTCAACCCCTCCCCACCCCTCCCCTCCCCCAATAGACATGCACCTGTGTTGGCCCAAACTTGACCATTCTCCCCTCTTGGAGCTCACCCCACATCCACATATCTACCACTCAGAAGACAGCACCCTTTTCCCTGACCATTTGAACCCTGCTGTCATAAGGTGCCCTTCGACCAAGTGACCCAACACTGTCCTTACCTAGAGTGGATGATGTGTGGTTGACTGACACTGGACCAGCTCTTGAGCAGGCTGTCTGGGACCCCGCCAGAAGACTGGATGTCCTGCAGGCTTGAGTTCCTTTGCTGCTGCTTGTTCCTACCGGAGTGGACTCATGCAGTACTTGTCCTTTTGTGCTTGACTACCTTCACTCAGCGTCATGTCTTCCAGATCCCTCCATGCTTTGAGGTGTGTCATTGCTGTTTTTTAGGGATACGTAGTATTCCATTATGTATATGTACCAGAGTTTCTTTATCCGCTCTTCTATTAATGGGAATTTAGGTTGTTTCCCGCTTCTTGCTATTGTGAACTGTGCTACAATGAATGTGGGGGAACAAACATCTGTTTGTGCTCTGCTTCTTGTTTCTTTTGGGTATATGCCCAGTAATGGTATTGCTGGGGCTTATGGTAGTTCAATTTCCATCTGTTGTCGGTATTGCTATATCACCTTCAATAGTGACTGTACGTAGTTACAAATCTACCAGCAGTGGGCAAGAGTTCCTATCTTGCCACACCCTCTCCAACATTTGTTCTCAGGTTGTTAAACATTGGCCTACAGTAATGGACATTAGATGGTATCTCATGATTGCTTTGACTTGCATTTCCCAGATGGCTAGTGAACAGAAGCATTTCCTCACGTGTTTTTAGCCGTAGGAGGGTCATCCTTTGTGAATCGTTGGTTTAGGTCTTTTACCCACCTTCTCAGAGGGCTGTTTGTTTTTTTCTTGTTGTAGGCTTGTAAAATTCTGTAGATTTTATTAGTCCTTTGTTATGTCATTACTAAATACCTTTTTCCAATCTGTGGGCT